AATTCAGCAGATCCATGGTCTGCTACTAATCTGGGAGAATCATCACATAGCCAAGATACACACCATGATGAAAGGAATGACTTTCGTGAAATGGTGCATGATGCATTTTGTCCAGAGGATGATGGTAATCGGGAAATGGAAGGTAATTTCCCCAATCAACATCTGGACGAGGAACCAAACAATCAAGCAAAGGCATTTTATGACTTGCTTCATGCATCTACAATTCCACTTGGTAGTGCTAAAAGAAATGAGACAGTGCTTAGCTGGCTTTCTTCTTATAGGTTGCATACAAAGACTGCAAATAATATAACTACTAATGGTTTTAATGCCATTCTCAAAGGATGTAGAAGGTTGTTAAGTGCTGAAGATCAAGAAAAAGTTCCTTCAAATTTTTATGAAGTAAAAAAATATATGAAGGGGCTTGGGTTAGGTTATCTAAAAATTGATGTTTGTGTTAACAACTGCTTTTTATACTATGGGGAGCATACGAAAACATTGACTACATGTCCAATTTGTGGAGAAGCGAGGTATAAATAGAGAAATACAGGGAGGAATAGACAAAAGGACATTCCGAGGAATTCTCTTTGGTACTTGCCAATAATACCTCGCCTTCAGAGGCTATACATGTCTCGAAAAATAGCTGAGCACATGACATGGCATTTGAAATGTTGTGGTGATACGGATGAGGTCATTCATCTAACACAATCAGAATCATGGAGACATTTTGATCAAATGCATCCTTCTTTTAAAAGAGAATCTCGTAATGTTCGATTAGGTCTTGCTACTGATGGTTTCAACCCATGGGCTCATTCTTCAACCTCCTACTCTTGTTGGCCAGTTCTTTTAACTGTTTATAATTTGCCACCAGAGATGTGCATGCGACCAGAGTTTACTTTTCTTATATTGGTCATTGCTGGTCCAAAAAGCCCAGGCAAAAATATCGATGTTTTCCTTCGACCTTTAATTGAAGACTTGAAAATGTTATGGTCGACTGGTGTAGAAACATATGATAGTTATCGTAAGCAAAACTTTATAATGCGGGCTATGTTGATGTGGACCATAACTGATTTTTCGGGTTATGGTATGGTGGCTGGTTGAAGCACTCATGGCCAGTTGTCATGTCCTTATTGTATGGAGATGACACAATTTTTTTATCTTCAAAATGGTCGGAAACCATGTTTTTTTTATTGTCATCGTCAGTTTTTACGAGAATCACATTCTTTCAAATTTGATCAGAGTAATTTCTTGAAGGGTCGGGTTGAATTAGGTGGTCCCCCTCCTCGATTGGATGGTGTTTCAATGCGTCACCGAGTTGAAAACCTTCTTGATGTGTTGTTTGGGAAACCCTTTGAAAACTAAACAATTGAGGGTTTTGGGAACATCCATAATTGGGTGAAAAGGTGCATTTTTTGGGAACTTCCTTATTGGCATGATAATCTTATTCGACATAATCTTGATGTAATGCACTGTGAGAAAAATTTCTTTGATAATATAATACACACTGTTAT